CATGTTTTATAAAAAAGTATCCAGTGCCAATCAAAACAATTGTGGTAAACATTAAAGCTCCTTTCAACCTAAAAGAAAGGTTGTTTAAAATATAAACATAAAATGAATTTGTAATATATCTACAAATGAGAAAAAAAGGTATGAACAAAAAAGACAAAAGATATACACAAAAGAGATAAAAGTACCACACAAAAGAGAAAAGTAACGTGCAAATATACAAAAGACACAAGAAATACATACAAATGAATAATATAGTATAGTATAGCCCAAGTTTGAACATGAAATCCTTCTTTTCCAGTTTTGAAGAAATTTATCTAAAACACATCAACAATTGATTATTATAAGAAAATAAACAAATATAAAATATTTATTAAAAATATTATGAAAAAAATAAAAAAATATAAAGATTTCTTTTTGATAAGTTAGCCCTAGACAAATGTTTGAGAAATTATTTTTTAGAATACCTCTAAAACCATGACACCTCAAAATGTACCTTGAGCTTTGGTAGAACCAAAAACAAAAATTTATGAGCCTTTACATTTTGAAGGTAGTTTGTTGCATTCATGTAATATTTTGGATTTTGATTATTTGGAGTACTGTTTGTTTAAATTATTTTCATAAAAAACTTTTTATATCTAATAAATTCTAGAAACATTGTAAAAGTAGTAAAAGAAGGTCATGGTATTAAGGTACAAATTATTTCAGACAAAAAAAAATTTATGAAGAATTTAAATTAATAGAGTTTGAATTTTTAAAAAGAAATATAACTACAGCATGAAAAGCCACAGCAACTCCTTTAAGATATACAACGATTGCCATTAACCAATGGATTTTAAAAGTCCATTTTCTAAAAATAAATACACAATGTTTTTTATTGTAACTTTTTAAAATTTAAATTCAAATTTTTACTAACTTTTATAGAGCTATAGAGTAAAATAGAAATATAAAATATGTTAAGATAAAACCTAAAAAAAAAAAAACTAAACTTTTCATGTTTACAAAAATAATTAGAAAACTAAAAATGAATTTTTTTTTTGCAATTATACATATAATTCACATATAGTTTATTATTCACTATTAACACTTGGAAGCTTCAAATTATGTTTATAAGTTTCCAACCTCATATATTTATTTCTGCATAGCTTACATAAGTCATAAAACAAGCAGCTTGCAGAAAATACTTTCTGAGAAAAAGACAAGTGTCCTTTTAACCTTTTTGAATTTTCATCATTCGCATTCTCTCATTGCTAAATATTTTTGTATAATAAAAGACATTTGATATCCATTTTGCATGATTAGAACCAGCATAATAAATGCAAAAACTTCTTTTATTATATTCTCAGGAGAAAAGGGGAAAAAAAACATAATTGTTGTATTATAAACAAGTGCAAAAACTCATATTTTTAATTGACAATTATTAAATAAGTTTATCACTTAAAAACATCTTTAAACAAATTCTTTTTTTTTTTGTCTATCATTGTTCAATGCTTGATTTAATGTAATGCTTGGTTACTTGAATGCTTGAGCTCTTTTTTAGCAAGTATTTTGTTTATTCATTTAATCCACTTGGGGAAATAGTCATTGGTATTCTAGAAACTTCAAATCCCTAGGCCAATAACACTACATATAAAATTTTCACTTTTGTTTTGTTCCTGGGTTGAAAGTGTGTTTTCCTAACTCATTAGGTCTAAAACAGAAAGGAAATCACTGTTATTCCAGAAGTTCTAAAAGTTCTGTGACCAAGCTATTTGAAAAATCATGAGTTTTTGAGATAATTCTCAATTTTCTTTCAATGCCAAGCTTCCTCTTATAATATTCCTGAACAGCTAGAGTTGTCCAGATGCTTCTACAATTCTACTAAACACTCTAGAACATTCAAGAAACTTCCAGAACTTTTGAGAAACTCTCAGAACTTTCTAGAATTTCTTGAACATTCCAAAAGTAGATTTAGTTAGAGACCTCAGGCTTACAAAAAAAATAGAACTCACGAAGCAGAGGAAGCGGCTTTAAAGATTCTCCAACTTTTTTATTAAGTGTGATAGGCTGCGCTTCTATAACGATGTTGCTGGCCTATGCCAGGCTATATAAACCTATTGAATGGCGCCTATTCATAGACTGTTCATCCCAGAGCCTCAAATACTAATTTATTCCCAACAAGGTTAAAAGCAACCACTATTAAGTTGGAAGACAGCAGATTCTATTCTTTATCTCTATAAATCTCAAATACACCTTTGAATGGAATACTGATGCCATATCTGGGGTGGAACTTCAATGATGCCCTTTCTCTTTTAGACAAGGTGCAAAAACGCATTGTAAACATAGTTGAACCTGCTCTTGCAGCCAACCTCCAACCACTATCACATTGTCGTAATGTTGCTTCTCTTTCTCTTTTCTACAAATACTATAATGGGCACTGTTCTAAAGAGCTAGCATCTTTTGTACCATCTACTAAATTTATTTTTGTGTTACTCATCACTCTATTAAGTCATATACTTTTATTGTGACTGTTCTTGAATTCTTATTTATCTAGTTTTTTTCCTCAATCATCAGTTCTTTAGAATTTGCTTCCTCCAACTTGTTTCCTAAATCATATAATTTGCAATCTTTTAAGTTGTCTGTCAATCGTTATCTTCTCTATAAACTTCATTGTTTTTCTTCCAGTAACTTCCAACTCTAATAGTGAAGATAAAAAAAAAAAAAGAAAAGCAAATCTAACAAGCAGTTGGATATGGGGTATATAGTACTGGGTTACCTGTTACCAATAGCTTGGTGATCGTGGTGGTCCTAATCTGACCTGATCCGGAATAGTTAAAGAAGTGATTTCTGTTGGCAATACTTTAAAACATTGAAAAGGAGAGTTTGGAATAACATAAGAAAAAACATTACTTCCAAAGGAATACTGGAAATTAAGTTGAACCTATGTTCTATAAAACACAAACTATACTAATTCATTTCAACAATTTATTACTAATATATTATTCAACAATATTTTAATACTCAATAAATTAGAATTTCTTAGTAAACAACAGTTAAACACATTTTTTATTAAGATTTTACTCTCATCAATATGAGCACCTTTAGTGCAGATGACATCCTTACAGAGATCGATGGTTTCACAACTTAAATTTTTCCAAGCATTTTGGAGACATTCCCAGATACAAGATATTGATACTAGAGTTTTTTTTTCTTTATTTAATTTTTCTTTAATCATAGTGGCTGGTAGCTGTCTATTATGTTAGCTTGTAACTACAATGTTTATCTTACATCTTAGTGTTTTATCTTGGTTTTCTTGTGCTTTTTTTAGTTGAGTTTGTTCATGTTGTTCTTAATTGCACTAACATACATATTACACTTGACTTTTCGGTCTTCTTGCTATTTTATCACACGAGTACCCTTCTTCAGATAAAATTTGAATTTTCGCAAATTGCTGAATTGAATATTCTGTTTTAGTTTTCTTATTTCAACTCATGATCAAATAAGCATATATTAAGTTGTTAGTATGCGTACAAAATTAAGAATTATATTCAGTAATTACTAATAAAAATTTTAATGCTCTTAAATAAAACTTTTTAATAAGAGTGTACTGTAGCGTGGGGTAATTGAGCACTTTCTGGGTAATTGAGCACCCGTAAACATTTTAATTTTAAAAGTCATATAAAATACATAATATCAATGCTTAGATCATTTTCAAGATATAAATATTTAAATTATTTTTTTTAAATTGTATGTTGCTAATTACAACTGTTTTGGTCAAAAATAAATAGCTGATAACATTTAAAATATATCACGATGCAGAATCATAAAATTCCGTAAAAACTAATAACTGGAAATACTAAGGGTAAGCAGTTATAGTTAAAACTTCTTTGAGTTTTGAATTTTTTGTAGTATACTATACATATGTTAAGGTAAATTTGTATAAATTTTAAAGTCTCATAAATGAATTGTTAATAAAATATTGTTGTTTAAAGTAATGTGGGGTAATTGAGCACTTTTATTTGGGGTAAATGAGCACCTTTTCAAGTAGCTGTTTTTTACCCTTTAAATACTATTGTTAATGAAATAAATATCTAAAGGTGCAAATAATTTAAATTTTTAGCTTATATGTTTTCCTTTTACATATTAGATATCTGATAAAATGGTGAGAAACTACGTAAAATCAAAACAAAAACTTTTCAAAACCTACACAGATTATGAACTTAAAAAAGCAGTAGAACTTGTTAATGATGGAGAACCTTGTAAACGTGTGGCAAGGCTATTGAACATACCACACAGAACTCTAAGATGTCATGTTAGTGGTTTAAGAAAAACTAGTGTGGTTGGTCGAAGGAGTGCATTGTTACCAGAAGAGGAAGTAACAATTGCTCAATACATTGCAACTTTTAGTGATTTTGGCTATGCATTCGAAATAGTAGACCTAAAGCTGTTTATACAAAGTTTTCTTCAAAAATCTGATAGGGATTGCCCATATTTTAAAGAAAATTTGCCTGGTAATGATTGGGTGAGATCATTTTTAAAACGACATAAAAAATTGCTATCTTATCGAGCATGTCAAAATATTTGTAGAAAACCTGCTGCAGTTTCATGTGATTCTGTAAATAGATTTTTTAGTAATTTAGAAGAAACTATAAAAAATATTTTGCCTCAAAATATAATAAACTATGATGCAACAAATCTTTCTGATGACCCAAAATCAAAACAAATGATATTCCGAAAGGGTACTAAACATGCTGATTGAGTTATGAATACATCAAAGTCATCAGTGTCTATTATGTTTGCATGTTCTGCTGAGGGTGTATTTCTTCCTTCATATACAGTGTATAAAGCTGAGCGTCTAATGGACAAATGGATACTTGGAGGTCCGATGGGTGCACGATATAACCGAACAAAGTCTGGTTGGTTTGATAGTCACTGTTTTATAGATTGGATGCAAACATTAGTAATACCTTACTTCAGACATGTTGACAATGACGCACCAAAAATTCTCATTGGTGATAATTTAGCATGCCATTAATCGATTGAGGTTATAGAAATTTGTGAGGCTAATAATATTATGATGGTCTTTTTACCTCCAAACAGTACACATTTGCTACAACCTCTAGATCTTGCAGTTTATGGACCCATGAAATCAACATGGAGAAAAGTGCTTACTGCATGGAAAATTAGGGAAGGGAGGTTTCATACATCCCTACCAAAAAATGCTTTCCCGAGATTGCTCCTTAATCTAATATCTAATATGGACCACATACAAGAGTTTGCTGTAAATGTGTTTAAAACATCTGGTATCTACCCGCTAAACAGAAAAAAAATTATTGATAAGATTTTAAGAGCAGACATTTCTACATCCTCTCAAAACTTGGTATCCCCGTTAGTTCTTGAACATCTTAAAGAACTTAGAGAAGCATCTGCTAAAAAGCCTGGGGCAGTGTTGCGTGGGAAAAAAGTAAAGGTTTCACCGGGAAAAAGTGTTTCACTGGATGATGTTGCAGTTTCTTCTGTTTTAAAATCCCAATCAAAACGCATGCTAATCAAAATAAAAAATATCCTTTTGAATGACTCCTTAGATAAATTAACTTCTTCAGTAGATTTGGATAGTTTTAAAGATATTATCGATTATGATATGCCTTCCAGCTCCAAGTTGTATATAGAGCTACAAGAAGATTCTGCAAAAAAATCTGAGGGTATACAGAAAGTCAAAAGTAAAACGTTAAAAAAAAAGATTTATTTGCTAAAAAAAGTATTTTATATAATGGTGTTTCTGGCCTTTATGGTTCCATTTTCCATAAAAAGCAAACACATATCCAAAAAAAGCTTGAAGACTGCTTAAATGAAGACTGCTTAAAAAAAAGCTTTGAATCAGATCCTAATTCTAATAAAGAAGTACATGATTCTGGTATGGTTGTAACCTCTAAATATCCATTAGTAGAGGGTTCTTATGTTGTTGTAAGGTTTGAAGGAAAAAAGATACCATGTCATTTTGTAGGCCAAGTTGTAAATTCAGAGGAAGATAATAATTGGAACATTAAATACTTTAGACGAGATTTTGATGCTTCGAACCCAAAAATCATATCCTTCAAAGAACCGCAGGTTCCTGATTACTTATTAACAGAAAGCAAATCTATTGTTAAACAGCTTCCTTGTCCCCAATATGAAAAAAACAACATATCTTTTTTAAAAGAAATCATTGGTGACTTATATATGCGTTGATATATCTGTATCATATATTTATGTTTTTTTGTTTTATTTTGTTATAAAGTTTGAACAAAATATATTAGACTATTTTTTCATTTGTTTATTTTATGTTTGAGAAAGTTGACTTAAACCAACTTTAAACTTATGTAAGTTTATACTAGTGTTCACATCTATCACCCATGTATATAATATGAGTCAGGGTGATAGGAAGTCCGGTTAGTTTGTCTGGATTATTTATTTTTTTAATACACAAGAAACCTTTTTTTTTAATAAATTATGAAAATTGAAATAAAAAAAAATTGTTCCATTTGATTATGTTCAACAAACAAATAAAAAATATCTAAGTTTATTTGAATGCTAGATAAAGAATATTAGATTAGATAAAGAAAATTCGTCTGCTGCATTGTTTGTTTTTGGATTTAATTTTTTGCAGGGGGCCAGGATGACCCAAAAATGAGACTGAGTGTCAGATAAGGATCTTTTGCGCGCACACACACATACAAAGTATGATGCTTTTGATAAAATACTGTCAATAATTTTTATAACATGAAATTAAATCAATATTCAATAAAATATAGATTTATTATTGCATCTATCTCCGCATTAAAAAGCTATGTATATATATATATATATATATATATATATATATATATATATATATATATATATATATATATAAATATATATATATATATATATATATATGTACATATATATATATATATATATATATATATATATATATATATATAAATATATATATATATATATATATATATATATATATATATATATATATATATATATATGTGTGTATATATATATATGTATTTATGTAAATATATATATATATATATATATATATATATGTGTATATATATATATGTATTTATGTATATATATATATATATATATATATATATATATATATATATATATATATATATATATATATATATATATATACATATATATACATGTATATATATATACATATATATGTTTATGAAACATATATATATATATATGTTTATGAAAAAGATATTAAGGTGCTCGTTTACCCCAAATCGTGGGGTAAATGCGCACCCGCATATTTTGTGTCATTAACTCTTTGCTGGAATTTTTTTTTTAATTCAACTTTCCTAAATGATAGACCTAATATAGTACCAAAATAACATATCTCACTTTTTAAAATTTTCTACAAGTTTTTATTTTATTTAAATAAAAGCTTCAAAAATGGTCCTCAATTACCCCACGCTACAGTAATACTTTTTTTGACAAAACAAACCTCTTCAAAATAAAACATACTAAATGTGCAGGACAAAACATTCCTTTAATTTTGCATACACTTTTGAAACATTTATTGAAACAGTCTATTTCTATTAAATTTTTTATAAAAAATATAACTCAAAAATTTTTTTATAAAACCTGCAACAAAAACTTATTAATTAGAAAACATTATTTTTACATAGTTTTTTATATTAAAATTTCTAGAAATTGTTTGTTTGTATTCTCATATAGTTTCTATAAAAATGAATAATTTTATTATTCTAATATACTTTGAAATTCACTTTCAATTTTCTAAATTTTTGAAAACTACTTTTGAAAGTGTTTGAGAAAAAGACAAAAAGTGGCATGAACTAAAAAATGTTTGAGAAAGAGACAAGAAGATAACTAAAAAGAAAAGTGACCTAAATAACATTTCAACTTCAAATCAACAATTGGAAACTCAAAAGAAAAATAATTTTAATGCAATAACAAGAACTTTTTCAAGTTTTTTTATTTTATTATTTTTTTTTTTCAACTGCTTCTTTACTGATTAATCAGTCTATAGATTCTTCCCAGGTATTTTTAAAAGTTGAATTGAATTGTTTTTAGAAAAAATTAAAGTTAATTTCTTTTTATTTATCCATTTTAAATTAGCAAATAAGTTTTTTTTTGTAAGATCAAAATTGGATTTAAATATGAAAATGAAATAAAGGATTTTAAATGGATTTGAAATATAAATGAAATGGAGGAGCTTGTAACAGTGAAAGAAAATGAAACTTGCAACTATATGATTTATTTAAAATTAATTTATTTGTAAAAATGTTTTTACAAAAACCTATCTTTATGGAAAACATGTGTACAAGTATTTCAAACTTAACAAAAAATTTTTAATGCATTTTTTATTTTATTTAAATTCACTTCCCCAAAGCCATGAGAACCACTAAAGTCAAGGAGGCTACTTTAGTTGTTGTTACAACCCTCTCTTAACTCTGTAACTCTGAAATACGAACTTTAACAAACAAGGCCGCTGCGCAGAGTAACAAATTAAAATATATGAAAAAAATATGACAAAATTATGTCAACCTACTGGAAAGTGTTTGAAAAATATTTATGGTTAATTTTTTGTAATTACTTTTTTTTAATCATGTTAATATCATTAAGAATAAGAAAAAAAGACAGACCAGAATTTGCTGAATATAAGCCCTCAAAAAATTATTCTTGTATCACAGTTATTGCCTCTATAAAACAACAAAATTGTCTCTACCATTAAAATTATGCAGAGTTTGGGTCTCAAACCATGAGTTTTAAACATGAATTGAGTTTTTTAAGGGAATTAATATGTCTTTGTGGTTTACAATTAAAGTTGAACACAGGTTTACTGAAGGAACAAGATATATTCTTTACTAGTTTAACCTCCTGAAACATCAATCAAATGTAGAAGTAGTAGAGATTGTAATGCAAACAGTTCGATGTTCAACGTGGTATGCTTTTTATGAGTTCATTGTACAGACCATGCCCTGCATGGAGAATGCAGAGAAAAGAAACAACAACATAAAGTTAATTATGAGGTCCTGATTAAGAAAAACTTCATACTGGTAATAAAAATAATAAATTACTCTAAAAATCAACCATTATGCAACAATGCTTAAACAGCCAACTTATATCTAATGAGAATAACTTTAACTTAAAAACAGCCAACTAGAATGAGAATAACTTTACTTGTGATCTGACAACAGAAAAAGTAAAACAGAAAATATTTGAGCCTATAAATAATCAGAGTAAGCCTTTTTTTTAGTCAATTGAAAGAAGAGTTAAACAATTGAAACTTTATGAGAAGACTTAAAAAAAGAAATGACTTTATGAGAAGACATAAAAAAAGAAATGACTTTATGAGAAGACTTATTTCAACATAAAAAATGAAATGAGTTTATGAGAAGACTTATTTCGATGTCTACTAATTGATCAAAAAAGATTTAATTTTAATAAAAGAAAATTTTGTTTTTTAAAAAAAAAAAAAATTGTCAGATCCCCATTATAAAAATATTAAATAAGGGAAAAAAATAAACAAAAGATAAAGTTGATAGTTATAAATGTCAAATGGAAAGTATTATAAATGCTATTAATAAAAATAATACAAACTATTTGATAAAATTCTATTCTGAATCCTATTCAAAAAAAAAATTTCATTCAAAATTTAAAAAAATCTCATCACATAAAAAAAATTATTTACCTAAATGTTCTTAAATAAATGCTCCATATTATTGCTGCTACAAAAAACAAAAAACTCATAAAACCAAACATTATAGGCAAGGGAATCTAAAGAAAAGAAAGTTAAAACAAAAACGAGCTAGTGAAACTTTTTATAGTTCATTACAGATACAATAAAAAAAAAACTTCAGCACTGAAGCAAAATAAGGAATTAGCAAATGAAAAATTAACAAAAGATTTTGTTCAACAAATTATTTGTAATTAATTATTTTCAATGGTCAGATACCTCTCCTGCTGCAAGAAATGTTCCAACATTATATTCAATCATGTGAACCTAATAGTTAAAATAATATATTTTTAAAAATACAAGAAAGTAGTTTATAACATCATGATAAAAATCAAAATATATTTAAAAGATTTAGAAATTTATCTTAAATTATTCTTATGCATAAATGATTTGTAAAAAAATCAAAAAGAATATGTATAATATAAAATTGATCTCTAATATACAGTCTATATATCTTAATATACATTACATATGGTAACAAAGATAAAATATTTTGATGATATTCCTGAAGTGCAAATTAATCCAAATAATGAATTTTAAACAATCGCAATCACACCAGAGGTTTTAATTTTACCATAAACATTAAGTTTATTTTGGTAATATATTTTATCAGTTAAAGTTAAAGGACAAGAATACCCATAAAGTTAAAGAACAAGAATACCCATAAAGTTAAAGGACAACAATACCCATAAAGTTAAAGGACAACAATACCCATAAAGTTAAAGGACAACAATACCCATAAAGTTAAAGGACAACAATACTCATAAATCCAGAGGTTTTTATCTTAATATTGTATTTGTTTTCAAAATTTCATTTAACTAAATGAATATTTTTAGAACAGCTATTGTATTTGTTTTGTAAACTTCATCCAACTAAATGAATAGGGTATACAATAATACAATTTTTCTATACTTTTTTGTATTTAAATAAACAACTTTCAGTATTCTTTTTAAACAATGTAACACATAGCACTTCCAATAAGGCTACAAGCAAACACAAATAAAGTTGTAAGTTAAGAGAAAACAAAGAAGAGCAAAAATGATATTGATAGAAAACATCAAAAACTTTAAACTATATGAATCAGGAAAACAAGACTTTTGAGAATATAAAACGAATACAAAAGCATTGATGTTTGAGAAGAAAAACCTAGATAAATATAAAAAGTTTTTTAATGAAAAGTTGAAAAAAGTGATAAAAGTTGGTTAATAAAACAAGTAATAAAAGTTGGTTAATAAAACAAGTAATAAAAGTTGGTTGATGAAACAAGTAATAAAAGTTGGTTGATGAAACAAGTGATAAAAGTTGGTTGATGAAACAAGTAATAAAAGTTGGTTAATAAAACAAGTAATAAAAGTTGGTTAATAAAACAAGTAATAAAAGTTGTTTAATACAGGGTTTTGCAAAGTTGTAAGTGCATGTTTGCAAAGTTATAAGTGCATGTTTGCAAAGTTATAAGTGAATGTTTGCAAAGTTATAAGTGCACGGTTGCAAAGTTATAAGTGCGCGCTTGCAAAGTTATAAGTGCATATACATTTTTTTGGAAATTATTTTTTTAGCTTTAATAATATTGCGCAAAATATTAAATTAAATTACAGCATAGCAATCAATAAGTGTTTTTTTTTGTTTTGTTTTTTTTCTAAAAAGTGATTAGTTAGTGAAAATTCTTTACATTTTTACTTAATTTAGCATATTGTTATATATCAATAACTTTTTTAGATTAAACACTTTCATAATTTTTGAAAAATAGTATACATTATTTAATCATAATATTTTAAAAAGGCATGCAAAAATATACATTATTAAAAAAAATAAACAAATCATTTTAAATATTTTAATTAGATAAATTCTTCTCTTCTTATTGCCTTTTCCAACCATCTTCTCATATTTATATAAAAGGCATTGCACTGTTGACTATAATTATTATCAGGTGATAAAATATATTCTAGAGTTTCTTTAATAGTCATATCGGGATTAGCATTTCTCGTGGATTTGAAATTGGATTTTAACATTGAAAAGAACTCTTGGATTAAGTTCAATTCAGGGGAGCATGGTACTAAAAACTTGTGAGTAATATTTTTTTCTCTTAGTAATTGAAGTACTGCAGCTGCTTTATGAAATTTTGCATTATCTAGGATAAGAATTTTATTTGGATTTGCTGCAAAGAATGGTACTAGTTTGTTGTTGATGAAATCAATAGATGATTGTGTATTGTATGCTCCGCTTTTGTATTGGTAACATTCAACTCCTAAATCGGAAATTAAGCACATGAGGCTAACATTTTGTCCCTTATTTGCAGGAACTGTCAAGTACGCTTTTGTATCTTTTGGAGAATAGCTATATGAGCGCACTGTATGTTTATTGAATCTGGTTTTGTCTAAAAAAACCAAATTTGAATCAGCAATTCTAGCAACTTTTGCCACAAAAATTGATCTCTGATTTACTCTTTCCATGGTGTTTCTTTCTTGAGGAATGATTGCTAATCTTTTTCGTGTCAAATTTAATTTCTTTAATTTACGGGAAACAAACGAGATTGAAACGTTTTTACCATGTTGTTCTAAAATTTGCGTTTGAATTTCTTTTTAAACTATGGCATTGTTACAGACCACGAAATTAAATATTGTCTGTTCAGTGTTTGTATTTATAGAATTTTTGATTTTATACGTTTCTTTTCTTTTTACTGTAGATGACGTGAAGGGTATAATATTATCACTATTTTTTATAACACGACCAACAGCATTTCCAGTTAAATTACAAGCGTTGGATATTTCTCATTGAAATAATCGTATTTTTAATTTCTTCTGTAATTGTTTTCCGTACTTTTCTTTCCATTGACATTTAAAATATAAGAGTTAAAATTAATTTTATAAATGCACTTATAACTTTGCAAACGTGCACTTATAACATTGCAAACGTGCACTTATAGCTTTACAAATGTGCACTTATAACTTTGCAAAACCCTGTAAAACAAGTAATAAAAGTTGGTTAATAAAACAAGTAATAAAAGCTGGTTAATAAAATAAGTATTAAAAGTTGATTAATAAAACAAGTAATAAAAGTTGGTTGATGAGACAAGTGATAAAAGTTGGTTGATAAAATAAGTAATAAAAGTTGGTTGATGAAACAAGTGATAAAAATTGGTTGATAAAACAAGTGATAAAAGTTGGTTGATGAAACAAGTAATAAAAGTTGGTTGATGAAACAGGTGATAAAAGTTAGTTGACAAAACAAGTGATAAAAGTTGGTGGATAAAACAAGTAATAAAAGTTGGTTGATAAAACAAGTGATAAAAGTTGGTTGATAAAACAAGTGATAAAAGTTAGTTGATAAAACAAGTAATAAAAGTTGGTTGATGAAACAAGTAATAAAAGTTGGTTGATAAAACAAGTAATAAAAGTTGGTTGATAAAACAAGTAATAAAAGTTGGTTGATAAAACAAGTAATAAAAGTTGGTTGATGAAACAAGTGATAAAAGTTGGTTGATAAAACAAGTAATAAAAGTTGGTTGATAAAACAAGTAATAAAAGTTGTTTGATGAAACAAGTGATAAAAGTTGGTTGATAAAACAAGTGATAAAAGTTGGTTGATAAAACAAGTAATAAAAGTTGGTTGATGAAACAAGTGATAAAAGTTGGTTGATAAAACAAGTGATAAAAGTTGGTTGATGAAACAAGTAATAAAAGTTGGTTGATAAAACAAGTAATAAAAGTTGGTTGATGAAACAGGTGATAAAAGTTAGTTGATAAAACAAGTGATAAAAGTTGGTTGATAAAACAAGTGATAAAAGTTGGTTGATGAAACAAGTGATAAAAGTTGGTTAATGAAACAAGTGATAAAAGTTTGAGCAGCAATCAATGTAGTATTTATAAATATAAAAAGAGAAAGATACAACCTTATGACTAAAGAAAAAAGCTCAGGCTTGGCAGGTCAAACAACATTAAAGGAATGGCTGTATTAGCAGATGCTAATACAGCCATTCCTTTCATGTTTTAATTTTGTCTAATAAAGTTCAAGCAAGTATAAAATCAAGTGAAGTGAATTTATATTAGTCTAATAAAGTTCAAGCAAGTATAAAATCAAGTGAAGTGAATTTATATTAGTCTAATAAAGTTCAAGCAAGTATAAAACCAAGTGAAGTGAATTTATATTAGTCTAATAAAGTTCAAGCAAGTATAAAATCAAGTGAAGTGAATTTATATTAGTCTAATAAAGTTCAAGCAAGTATAAAATCAAGTGAAGTGAATTTATATTAGTCTAATAAAGTTCAAGCAAGTATAAAATCAAGCGAAGTGAATTTATATTAGTCTAATAAAGTTCAAGCAAGTATAAAATCAAGTGAAGTGAATTTATATTAGTCTAATAAAATTCAAGCAAGTATAAAATATCTATCAAGTATAAAATATCTATCAAGTATAAAAGTGAACTTTGCAAAAAGATTCAACAGATGAAAAGTTACTTTAAAGACCACAAGTATTTGTTAATCGCAATAATTTAGATCTTCCTATATTTCTGAATGGTAATGTATTCGATGAGTCATCTACCCTCCATCTTCTAGGATTAACTCTTACTTCTGATCTTTCTTAAACCATATATCAGATCTGTTGCAAAATTAGTATCTGCTAAGATTGCATCTCTTTATCGAGCTCTACACTTTTTTAATCCGGATTCTATTCTCTATCTCTATAAATCTCAAATCTGCACTTGTATGGAATACTGTTGCCATATCTGGGGCAGATCTTCTAGTGATGTCTTTTCTTTTTAAGACAAGGTGCAAAAACATAGTTGGACCTGCTTTTGCAGCCAACCTCCAACCATTATCACATTTTCGTAATGTTGCTCTTTCCCTTTTCTACAAATATTATAATGGGCACTGCTCTAAAGAGCTAGCGCCTCTTGTGCCATCTACTTAAATTCATTCTCGTGTTACTCGTCATTTAATTTAATCTTATCTATTTACTGTGACCGTTCTTAAGTGCTCCAAAAATTTTTATTCATCTCGTTTTATTTCTCAAACATCAGTTCTTTGAAATTCGCTTGTTTTTCTGATTTATATAATTTCCAATCCTTTAAGTCGTCTTCAATCGTTATCTTGCTCTATTACTTTCATCTTTTCTTTTCCAATAACTTCCAAATCTAATAGTGGTTGCTTGCAGCCTTGTTGGAAGCAACAAGGCTGCAAGCAACAATATATATATATATATATATATATATATATATATATATATATATATATATATATATATATATATATATATATATATATATATATA